GCACCTATAAAACGTAACGGCCTCAGTCAGATTGAAAAAGATTCACCCACTGAAGATTCTTCCATTCCGGCCGTAATGAATTAATGTCGGGCGGAGAAGTTCAAGTGTCACAGGAACGAGCGTGGGCCCGCGAGTGGCTCACCGGCTTCGCCGCCTTGCCGGGGGCCGGGCGGGCGCGGGGCGTCCTCCCCGCTGCTCCACTCCTGCAGCTTACAAAGGGGCCTCTGTCCGCGCTGCCGCCGGCGGGGAAGGGGTCGGGGCGGTGACTCTGCGCTCCCCGGTTCTGTCTACGAGGGGAGGACTGGGGCTCGCCGGCCGGCCAGCTCCCGCGGTCGGCAGCGCCCAAGCTCGCAGCCAGAGGGACTGAGGCGCTGCCCCACTGCGGCGCCACCCGCTCTGCCTCCAGCGGAGCGACCCGCGCGGATCCGGCGCCAGCACGCGGAGCCAGCGGCGCGGGCCCTTTAAGGGGCGGGGCCGGCGCCGCCCCGCCCCGCCGCCGCCGCCTTTGATTTGACTCAGCGCTGGTGGGACTGGCTCGCGTCTCAGCCAACCGCTTTTCTTTTCCTTCCCGTCGCTTGCCTGGTGACCCCGGAAGTGGAAGTAGGCGCAGGTCTGCGGCCGCGGCGGGGACGGAAGGCGGAAGCGGAGCGTGAGCGGGAGGCGGGGCCGGGGGAGCTGCTAGCTCCCCCTGGCCCCAGGCCCAGCAGCTCGAGGGGGAGGAGTTACCGCCGCTCTTCCGTACGTTACCTCCGCCCTCTCAGCCCAGCCCGAGGGTTCCCGGGAAACCTCTTTCAGGAGCTACCCCAAGCTCCGCCCCCAGGTTTTCCTTGGGGGCCGCGCGGCCCCACCCTTTTCCGGCAGCCTGCGGTCCCCCTTTCCGATCGTCTGGCCCTGTTTCAGAAAAGTGACCCCAGGGCTGTACCCTCTGCGGTACTTCCTTCTTTCCTGTATTCAGGGTTGTAGATTCGTGGGGAATTTTTTAAAACTACGGGCATTTGGGGTGGGGGAGGAAGCAGCGTTGTCCTTAGTGTAGTGTGGGCTCATTGCTTGGGGTCATGACTGCCCCCAAAAGGAGATGGAAAACGGGTGGTGGGTGCATTCGCTATATCCCCGCCTGGAGATTCTTAACCCCTCTCTTGGTCGTCTCGTCCCCACCTTGATACCTTTGTTACAGGCATCAGAAATCACCATGATGGCCGTGACCTAAAACCCTCAGGAATTCCCGGGGTCATGGCCCAGAAGCACCCCGGAGAAAGAGGGTTGTGTGGAGCCCACCACGGTGGGGGTGCCTCTCTCAGGACTTTAGGACCCTCTGTGGACCCCGAAATACTTTCATTCTCAGGACTCAGGGACTCAGCGAGGCCTGCTCCTAATGGTACCCGCTGCTTCACAGAACACTCTAGTCCTAAGTACACACAGCCCCCAAGCCCAGCTCACTGGTCGGATCCAAGCCATGGCCCCCCGAGGGGTCCAGGACCCCCTAAGGAGGGAGAGAACCCTGATCAGAGTGAGGCGTTCTCAGAAGAATCAGGAGTGGAGCAGGAACTCCCAGGAGAGAATGGGGCTGGGCACCAGGAGGATGGGAAGCCTTTTATTTCCACTCCGTCTGCCTGCGACTGCCAGGGGACCGCTGGCATCTCTGAAGGACCTTACTCTGAGGGAAGAGAGAGCTCTTCTAGCAACCTTTGCCACCATTGTACCTCTCCAGCCCTGGGGGAAGATGAAGAGCTGGAGGAGGAATACGATGAGGAGGAACCTCTTAAATTCCCCAGTGATTTTTCACGCATGCCCAGTGGGAAAAAACTACCACCCCGGAGGCAGAGGCACCGCTTTGCAGCCAAGGAGGATGCTCGGGAGGGCGGCCGCAGAGATCCCAGGTCCCCTGGTCGCCACCGGCTGGGCCGGAAACGCGGTCAGGCAGATAAACGCAGAGGCCCGGGATTGTGGGGAGCCGAAGAACTGTGTCAGCTTGGACAGTCAGGCTTCTGGTGGCTGATTGAACTGCTGGTATTGGTGGGAGAGTATGTGGAAACTTGTGGCCATCTCATCTATGCATGCAGGCAGCTGAAGGGCAGTGATCTGGACCTCTTTCGAGTCTGGATGGGAGTCTGGGCAGGGCGACTTGGGAGCTGGGCCCAGGTGGTATTCCAGATTTTGAGCCAGGGATTTTGCTGTGGGGCAGGGCTTTTCACTCGTTTTCTTAGGCTCTTGGGTGCTTTGCTGCTTCTGGCTCTGGCCCTCTTGTTGGGCTGTTTACAGTTGGCCTGGAGGTTTCTCGTGGGACTGGGAGACCGGTTAGGCTGGAGGAGTAAGGCCACTTGGCTCTTCTCTTGGCTGGATTCTCCCACCTTGCAGCGTTGTCTGGTTCTGCTGAGAGATAGCAGGCCATGGCAGCAGCTAGTAAGAATAGTCCAGTGGGGTTGGCTGGAGTTGCCTGGGGTCAAGCAGAGGACTGTTCGGCAAGAGAATGCACCTGTAGCTGGTGGTCGCTACTGTCAGCCTGAGGAGGAAGTGGCTCGACTCTTGACCATGGCTGGGGTGCCTGAGGATGAGTTAAACCCTTTCCAGGTGTTGGGGGTTGATTCTACAGCATCCGATGTTGAGCTGAAGAAGGCCTATAGGCAGCTGGCCGTGATGGTGAGTACCCTCCCTTTTATTTCCTGTTCCTTGTTTGTCCACGTATTATTTCCTACTCCAGTTTTAGGTAGAGTGGAGTAACAGGGAAGGCAGAGTAGAACACCAACTTGAAGATGAAAGGTAACTGGGCCCAGTGTGGAAAGGCTCAGGAAGGGCATGTGAATGATTATTCCAGGACCAAGTGGAAGAAAAATTATTTCACGAGGAGCAGTTCATAGTGGGAAGGTGAAGGAGAGGTGAAGATAAATCATATAGACATCTGCATGTGTGTCATGAGAATGGTTGCTTTTATTGATGGAAATAAATGCACCCTATGCTTGAGAGAACTGCTTTAGTTTACGCGTGCAATCAAATTGCTATTGGAAGTAGAGCAGTAGCGCAGAAATACTATTTCTGAACAAGTAACACTATGAAATGAATAAGTAATGTGTTAATGTAAATTGCACAGGAAGCCCATTTTAGTGAGTGCATGGACTGGTAGGACTGCAAATTGTTGCCTGCCACTGAAGAGTTATCAGACAACCTGTCTCCAGTGAACATGTGAGGCCCCCAAAAGTACCAGGCCTGTTACTTTTACCGAAGGACTAAATTAGTTTGGTGGGAAATGTATGCCCTTTATTGGAATATTTTGAGAGTGTGGAGCAACTTACACTCAAGCTGCTACTAATCGTACAGTTCTTTTTTCACCTTCATGTTTGGAACAGATACCCCCTTTTGGGAAATATCTGTCTGAGGAAAATTTTCATTTTCAACTTATTCTCTGGTAGAGGGGGATGAAGCCCTCAGTCCTCAGTGCCCCGCCCTGTTCTCTCAAGTTCTCCCCTGGTTTAGGCCAGAGTCCCCTGACTCACTCATTGCCCTTACTTGGTCCCAGAGTGACCAAGACAACAAGCTTTGGGAACGTGGTAGATTTAACAGCATTCTGCTTATTTGGCATCAGTCATGAGACTCGGTTTATCTCTATTTTTTGGGAGTGACAATCAGGAAGCTGTAGGGAGAGGATATTATTTGTCTTGGAAAAACACTGAAAAGTGGATGAAAAGCCTGAGAGGATCCCAATTCCTATTTCATTTCTGGGACAGAAAGGTAAACTATTATACAAAGTTTGATGTAGGTGGGAGAATTTTCTGCTTAGAAAGGAGTGACTCTGAGGATGTTAACATGTTTGTAATTATTACTTTATGACTGAAATGAAACTTCAGTGAGAGGGCTTCGTACATGTATGCCAGGAAGAGTGACTAACCTTCCCTGCCCGACTGAGGGGTGTCCTGAGATGTGAACTTTTCTGTGCTAAGACTAGTACAGTGGTCATCCTGGTGCCAGATTCTGCACGATACATGCACGTGTATCCTCGTGAAAGATTCCCAGTGACCCATCGTAGATAAAACATCCCACCTGTCAATAAGCAGCAGATCCCATATGTCTGTCGATAAACCGTATAGACTCTTTGAGGAAAAAGAACTCTTTGATAAGTTATTTTGACCCAAGAAGAGAAGACCATTGAAATAATTTCTGTTGAAATCTCTATCTTGGTAGGTTCATCCTGACAAAAACCATCACCCCCGGGCTGAGGAGGCCTTCAAGGTTTTGCGGGCCGCTTGGGACATTGTCAGTAACCCTGAAAGGCGGAAGGAATATGAGATGTAAGTTGGAAATGAGAAATTATCAGGTGAAGTGAACAAATAATCTTCACTGGCAATGTCCCTGGATTTGTGGGCGGAGCCCTCTGAGGTAGAGAGAAGGGGTTGCTTGTCTTCTGTGCTGACGCTGACGAGGGGGCCTTTGTCCCTCAGTCAATACCCTCTGACTTAAAAGGTTTCTCTTCTCTCAGGAAACGAATGGCAGAGAATGAACTGAGCCGGTCTGTGAATGAGTTTCTGTCCAAGTTGCAGGATGACCTCAAAGAAGCAATGAATACCATGATGTGCAGCCGGTGCCAGGGGAAGCACAGGTATGGGAGAGGTGGGGAGCAGCACAGGCTGACTGGCTGAGGACTTGGCAGTGGTGGGACACAATGGGAAGTACAACAACCGAGGTTTCTACTTTTGTTTTATTGTCACGAGATTGAGGGCTTGCATTAGTAGAAAGAAGAAATGAGGTATTTTAATTGTAAGGTAGGAGGTTTGAAGACAGGGTGTGCCCAGGTAAATGTAGGAACTGAGTAGTGATAATTTTAGGTGCTTCAGTCAACTTGTAATGATGAAAGTGTTGCCCTAGGTAGGCTCAGCTTGACAGATTACTAAGGGACCATTCTTCTGCTGGGTTGCAGGAGGTTTGAAATGGACCGGGAACCTAAAAGTGCCAGATACTGTGCTGAGTGCAATAGGCTGCATCCTGCAGAGGAAGGAGACTTTTGGGCAGAGTCAAGCATGTTGGGCCTCAAGATCACCTACTTTGCACTGATGGATGGAAAGGTGTATGACATCACAGGTACACCTCCGTCCTCTGAAACACGGGGTCATAGGTGCTCAAGATGGACACTTTGGCTAATTACTTCTCTTACTTGCAGAGTGGGCTGGATGCCAACGTGTGGGAATCTCCCCAGATACCCACAGAGTCCCCTATCACATCTCCTTTGGTTCTCGGATCCCAGGCGCCAGTAGGCGGCAGAGGTAGGTGGTATTTCAGCAATAATCAAGCCACTCTATTTCTGCATATGTTCCAGATGACAGATTTAGGACAAGTGGATGACTCACCCTTTAAGAAGTGAGAACTGACTCAGTTTATCTTTAACTTAGGTACACATAGGTAACACTGGTCATCATGACTCTATCACTTCATTCTTTTTTGTTTTCTCCTCAGAGCCACCCCAGATGCCCCTCCTGCTGACCTTCAGGATTTTTTGAGCAGAATCTTTCAAGTACCCCCAGGCCAGATGTCCAATGGGAACTTCTTTGCAGCTCCTCAGCCTGGCCCTGGGGCCACTGCAGCCTCCAAGCCCAACAGTACAGTTCCCAAGGGAGAAGCCAAACCGAAGAGGCGGAAGAAAGTGAGGAGGCCCTTCCAACGTTGATAACCCTTCTCTTCTTTCCTCAAATCACTGTCAGGGAGTCAAAAGGGCTGTGTACAGCACAGGATGGAGTTTGACTTGTTTATTTTTAAATATTTAAAAAAGGGAAACTTATAAACGCAAATTATTCATTCAGTACTTACAGGAAGTCTGGAAACCACTCCCCTCTCCACTGCTACCCAGTAACTGAATCTTGTCTTCTGATAATACCAAAGACGTAGGCTATGGCTAGAGCAAAGGAGCTAGGGCCTGGACCTGGGCTGGACAGTGTCTCCCAGTGTGTGGGAGCTGTATTTTCCCCTGGGGTCTATATGCCTCTGTCTTGTCTTTTGCTTCTAGAGAAGATGACACTCCCGCCCCGCCCCCCCTATAAATTACAAGTCTATCTTATTTCTTGATCCATTCCAGGAGGGTACCTCTTCCTTTACCCCGGTATACTAGTCGAGAGAAGAAAGCATGTAGCCCTAATGATTGGAGATATATAGAGTTCAGAGAGTGGGGACTCTGAGTTTTTCCTCTGACTTTCACTTTGTGGGTAATCACCCAACTTATGCTTGTTGCTGCAGGGATGGCCAAACTAATAATTTTTAAAAAGCCCTCTGCCCTTGGGTGAGGGGGAAGATAAAGGGGTTCCAGGCAGCCCCCTTATGATCCAAGGGTTTGTATTTTTTTAAGTTTGTTCATATTTGTATGTACATATCTATTTAACGCCAGGGGATTATCTTTCTATAAATACACAGCTGGCAATCTGTACCTTCCCTCTCTTCTTTGCCCATATAGCTTAAGCCCTTTGTCTTAGTTGAGAATCCTTCCCCTCCAAGTGTAGACTGCAAGTGAAGGGCACCCCTACTGACTGAGGGAGAGGGAGGGGTAAGACATGCCACCGGAAAGCGTACAGTAAGTTGTATTCCATTTGTCTGCCCCACCTTTATGCAAACATTTTCCAGCTGCTCCTGACGATCAAATTGTAGCCACATTTGAAAAAAATTATCTTTATTGTAAGGAAAATGCACAGCGACACAGAGCTGGGAGGTGGTGGGGGCAGAAGATATGGCAAAACTTCTCACTGAGTAAGCTGCCCACATGTGGCTTCCTGCTGTTGAGGAGATCTGGCCCTGACATCTGCCTCTCCTGATTCCACGAAACCTGTTTTCAGCAGGGCTGGGCCAAGAGAACCCCACTTTCCAGTCTGTTCTCTTCCCTGAAGCCTGGGGAAGGTTGTTTAGTCCTTAGGCTTTTAAGATACAGAAGACAGGATGTGACAGCCCTTTGTTCCAGCGTCATCCCCAGGCCCTGCCCTCAGTACTTGTTGATGCCAAAGAGACGAACCCCGTGGAACTGGGGCAGCTTGGGCAGCAGTACACTGAGCAGCGAGGCTGTGTTGATGAAGAAGTGAGCAGCGTCATACTTGGTGTAGAAGCTGGCCAGGAGGTAGCTGGGGAGAGAAGAAGTGAGCTGAGTGAAGGCAGCCTTCCCTGTCCCGTGTCCATGCCTTTCTGGTGACTTTCTCTTCCGTTTTAAAGGAGCAGTTTATTGCATGTAGCCCCAGGATATCTGGAAGTCCTCCCCCGTGTCAACCACATTTACTCTGGGGCTGGGGATGTAATCAGAGAGCACCTTTAACTGAGATGTCTAAGTCTGTGTGTCTTTTAATTGTTGCTGATGTGGCAAATGACTGCTGAGGCAGTTTCAGCCTGTCTATCAGACTGCGCTTTGCTTCCACTCCCCACGTCCCTTTTTGCAAATTCACGGCAGCTCTCCGTGTGAGACCAAGGAGACAGCAAGGAATGCTCGGTTACCAGCTTCCCCTTTTTATTCGCCTCCCTAGATTCACACCTAGCACAACATCGTGCCTTCAGGGTGCCTATGGGGGTGGTCTGCTTTTTGAAGGTTTCCCTGTGGACCTTTGTACCTGGCTTGGTCCCTGGCTTCGGGAGCATCTCCCCTTGGACTCACAGTACAATAGGAGAGATGCTGAGGAATTTTCGGGAAGAAGTAAATTGGAGCCCATAGTCCATCTGCTCCCAGTGTGTCAGCAGTCGAGCCTTGCCTTGGTCAGGGGTCTCAAAGGGTGTGCCCTTCACCGTGTGCAGGAAGACATAGGTGGCCTGGGGGAGGGAGATGACGGGTGGGCTCGGCTCAGCCCAAGACCGGTGCAGAGATCCCAACAGGGGGACTCAGCTGGCCTGGCTGGCCAAGGCCTGGGGGGTGTGGGGCGCCCTTGGTGCTCACCAGGTTATGGATGACGTTGGTCAGCGTCCAGACCACAGGAATGCTGAGGAAGGGGATGCTGAGCAGAACCACATGCAGCAGTCCCACCAGGACGAGGTAGGCCAGCCAGATGCCCCGGCTGTTCATCACTCGGGTGTTGGGGTTCACTTCGCTGTGTGCCACCCCCACATTCATCCTACCACAGTGGGGATCAGGCAGGAATCCAACTCAATTTCCTCAACATCCCTTGGAGTCTGTTCCCCCAAATGGTGTCCCGGATGGCCCAGATCTCCCCAACTCTGGGGAGTGGAAACTTCCTCAGCACAATGGAAAAACTGGAGGCTCGCAAAGACGACGTTCCCCAGCTGCAGACCCCAGTGCCCTTCGCCGCGCCCCCAGCGCCCCCGCCGCGCACGTGAAGGAAGCAGCCCCGCCCGGGCACCTCCTCCACGGAGCCGGCGCCTCAACTGCCTTTCTGGGGAGGCTGAGGGGTCGCGCGGCGCTCGCACCCAGAAGCGGGTCCTGGGCAGAACCAACAGCAAGCGGGGGCGCCGAGACCACTCGGGATCTCCACCGTGTCCGGGCTTGTCCCGCCTCCCAGGCCGCAGCATGCAGGCAACCCGCACCCCAATTCCGCCCGTCAGACACCGGGCGCCGCGAGAACTTGCCCAGGCTCTGGGTCGGGCCAGGAGGGGGGCCCCAGCTCGGCGTCTCGCGAGCCCTGGCTCGGGCAGCCGGCTGGCCCTGAGCTTTTCCAGCCGCGGCCAGAGCCCCGCCGGCGCCCGCCCACCCTCCGCCCCCGCGGCCTCAACTGCCCCGCGCCCCTCCCAGCCGCCTCCGGTCGTTCGTCGCTTCCCTCAGGATTCCTGTCAGCGCCGCCCCCCTCCCCCCGGGACTCCATTCGCCGCCGAGTCCCCTCTTCCGCCTCTCCCCAGTTGCCCGCGGCACCCCGTGCCAGCCTCCCGCACCCCTACCTGCCAGCTCCGGGCGCCTGTCAGGCTGGCGAATCTGCGCTCGCTCCACAGCTGCGGCCTCCGGGACGCAGCCGCCCGGCCTGTCGCGGCCTCTCTATTGGCTGGCCGTCAAGCAGCGCTGCCGCCCTCCATTGGCTGGCGTCCTCCGAGGGGGTCGCGCAATTGGTCGCCACTTCCGTCGTTCCGGAGCTACGAAGCCCGCCTTCACCCGGTACCACCTCGGAGAGAGGCGGGGACAGCCGCCGGCAGGAGAAAGCCAGCGAGCCAGCTGCTAGCCAATGGGGAGAGGGGATAGTACGAGGTGGCAGTAAGCGTGACAGTGATTGGCCAGCCGCGGTGGTCGGCGCCTCGGCGGGAGCTCCCGGGGGCGGAGGCAGCGGGCGGGGGCCTGGCGGAGTGGAGGGGCAGCAAGATGGCGACGGAGACGGTGGAGCTCCATAAGCTGAAGGTACCGCGCCGGGGGGAAGGGCCGAGCTGGACTTTCCTGGGGCCTGGGTTCTCCCGGGTGGCCGGCGCCCGCTCTTCCGGGTCCTCTGTGCAGGCCTTTCCACTTCGTTTTCCGGCCCCCACCCTGGCTCCTTTCCTTTGTGCCTCCTCCGCCAGGACGCCTGCCTTCCTTTCCCGTGTGTCCTCACGCTGCGCGTCTCTGCCTGGGACCTGGGGTCCCTCCGTCGCCGAGCCCCCGGCACCCTCCCCGCCGGCGGTGTTAGTGCCTCCGACCTGGTTCGCTCCTCGTCAGAGCTGCATTACGTCAGTGGTCTCCTCCCTGCCTCAGGCCGGACCCCGGACCCCTCTGCCCCCCTGGCTTGACGCTGTCCTGTCTGTGGTCCCGGGGTGCCAGCACACGGCGGCACCTTTGCGTGTCCCCCTCAGGCTGGCCCTACGAAACGCTTCGTCTCCTCTTTGGAAGTGGGGGAGCTTGCGGCCCCGGGGTGAACTTTGGAGCCTGAGGGGAGGCCCCCCGAGGCCGGCCTCCCCCTCCCCGGACGCGCCCGGGGCCGAGGGCCCGCGAGTTTGTGGAGGCTGAAGGCGCCGGCTCGCAGATGGGCGCTGTGTCCCTGCGCGCTCGCGGG